TTCTGTGCAAGCTGTAACTTCTAGTGTCCTTAGAGCCTGGAGGGGAGAGTGGAATAGCTGTGGCTCCTCCTCCCTCTCACACACCATCCTGGATGGACCTTTCTCTCTCTCTCTTGGCACCTGTCCAGCTCCAGTCCTCCAGTCTTGACAGACCTTATCACATACTAAGATATTGTGGCTGGGCCTGGTGTAGAGAAAACCCAGCTTGTGAAAGAACCCTGACTTTTTTTTTCCTTTGCTTTGCTTGGGGGTGGAGTGGAAAGGTTCATTGATTTATATTTTCTCTCTCTCTCTCTTTCCTGCTGGGAATTGAACTCAGAGCTTTCTGTATGCTAAGCAGGAGCTCTACTACTGAGCTCCACCCCATTGATCCTCTTTAACCCATTACTGAGTGCTGCCTGTCAATGGGTCAGCCTGGGTATTTAAAGGGTAGTCTGAGGCTCATGCCTATGTTGGGGGTATGAGGGGACCCCTGGTTTCCTCCACCCTGTGCCCGTGGGCTGGTATGGAAACTTGAGGTGCACTGCACCATCATTTGCCTAGGAATGCTAGCGGACTGGCCCCTTGGGCTCCCTCCTTAGGTGACTGGGGGGGGGCAGGGATGCGTGCATCTTAACCCTCTGGGCTGCAGACCTGTAGGCTTCTACCCATTCCTAAGGATTACAGCTGATCTCCGTGGCCCAGGGAATGGCCTCTTCCTCTTGGTCTGGCCCCTTGTGCACTATGCCCATCTTGCAGCCAGCTCTGGTCAGCTTCCTGGCTCAAAGCCACTGCTGCTCCAAGCTGTTGCTTGGACCAGGCATGGCCATGGGTGGAAATGGGGTACTTGCAGCATTACATTTTCAGAGAGACCTCTAGAAGTGAGAGAGTATGTCCCTCTGGGCCACACTGCATATCACCCTTGGGTTGTACCTTCAAATGATAGTGTGTTCCAGGCATGGTCCTGGAGTCTTGGCATCCTGGCCACCTGGTGCTGCTTCTGGTAGCTTGCTTCCCCTCCAGCTCAACCATCATATCTTGTACCAAGATTGAAACTTTGGGCTGGAGTTGTTGCTCAGTGGTGGAACACTTGCCTCGTGGAAAGTGTGAGGCACAAGGCTCAGAGTTTGATCCTAGCACCACATAAAAACAAATAAAGGGGGTTGGGGATATAGCTCACATGCACAAGGCCCTGGGTTCAATCCCTAGCACCAAACAAACAAACAAACAAAGGCATTGAGTCCATATACAACTAAAGAAAAAAAAAAAAAAACGGATTGAAACTTCAGCCCACTCCTGCCTGGGGCTTCCCTGACTAGGCTCAATTTGCAAATTCTGTTGATTGCAGGTTACCTTTGGTTACTTGCCCAATGGCAGGAAGACAGTGGGCCAGTGCTGCCCTCTGGTGGTGCAGTTGATGGTCTGCATCCCTTCCTAGTCAGACCATAGCTCTGTGGCCTTTGCCCTTGGCCAGTGGGGCCTTTACACCCATCCTACCACCAAACACACAGATTGCATGGTCTCACCCAGTGATCTTGGCTTTCCTCTTCTGAGAATTCAAATGTCAGGGTGTGTTTTCATTGACCCAGAGAGGCAAAAAGACTGCAAAGTCCAGGGTGGTTTCCTCCAAAAAGAAGATAAAGCCACCTCAGGTGGCTTCCTCTCTCAGGGTGACTTGAGTCAGGATGGTCTCAGGCCTGGACCCAGCCACTTAGTGGAGTGATGCTGAGGAATTTTGAGGTCTCCCATAGCTTAAATGAGGACCCCACAACTGCTTCCAGCCAGGGCATTTGGAACGTGTCCGTCAGTATGTGGGAAGGGAGGGTATGTTGCTGGTCTTTCAGGGTTCTAGTAGTCTTTGAGGAGCGGGCCCCTGCCTTTCCTTAGGGTACGGATAGGTGGAATGTCTGAGGCTGCCATTCAGTGTTTAGAGCTGAGCCAAAGGCTGGCGCTGTAGCCAGGCATAGTGGTGCATGTTTGTAGTTCCAGCTGTGCCTGAGGGTTGCTTCAGCCCAGGAGTTTGAAGCCACTTAGCTAGTTAGGGTGACAGTGAAACCCTGTATCAAAAAACAAAACAAAACAAAAAAAAACCCACACACAAAAAAACAGCAAAAAATGTGGTAGCTATAGCTCAAATTTTGGGGAACCCCCTGGGATGGGGTTTACCTACAAGTGGATTCCTTTGTGTGCTCTTGGCCTGACTGTTTACTCAAGCCAGGGGAGGAGTTCACTGAGCTGGCAAGGAGACTTTGGCCCTTAACCATTTTGCAGCCTGTGGAGAAATAGTGGGCATCTGCAGCCATCAGAATCCAAAGTCAACCTCAGAATCTACGCCTTGGCCCTTTCTGTATTTCTGAACCCCTTCCTTGAGCGGTTTGTGAGGTTTGTGGGTTTTGGGAGACAGTGACACCAGGCCCTATCCAGGTCACAGGTGAAGACTAAGGTGGAGAAAGAGAAGGAAGTCACACTAGAGACCCTGTGGCTTGCCTAGGTTCCTGCTGGGGTTCCTCACTCAGGCAGACACAGGTTTGGAGAAAACTGGAAGGCAGTGTGCCTTCTCCCTGACAGCTACACGTACTGCATTTTGAATGTTAGTGTATTACTGTATTTTCCTCCTCAAAGTTGTGTTTTCATGTCTTGCTCAGCAAAGACTTGGGGGGATAAGTCAGTACTTTGCCTCCTACCCTTCTTGGAGGAAGATCTTTTTCTGGATTACATAAAGCAAATAAGATCTGCCCATGTACTATAGCATTAACTATCCCAATAAACTCCATACAGACACTGCTTACCAAGGAGACTGAGGCTTAGAGAAGCCCAGCATGAATATAGTAGATGGAGGAGCTGGGACTTGAACTCAGGTCTGGTTCAGCCCCTCAGGTGTTCTCTTGTCTCTGTACCCAAGGACTGCTCCCTTCAAGCAACAGTCTGACCAACATAGGCATCTTTGTTGAAACCTTAAACTAGAATCCAGTCCATAAACCAATAAGCCAGACTTACAGTCATCCCATGGGGCTTTGGTGAGGGGCAGTAGACTCGGATTCAGATGTTGACCACGGAAGGTAGAACATTTGTCTCCCATTGAGTGTCTGGAGCCCAAGAGACCTGAGTTCAAAGACCAGTGTTGTCACCTCAGCCAGCTTTGGCAGTGGGGGACATGACTGCCTCTGAACCCTGGTTTTGCTGTCTGTGTCAGTGTCATTATAAGGAGGAAGGCAGGTAACACAGATGAAGCCCTGGCCCTGCTGGGCTTTCAGGATTGTGGCTACTCCTGCCAACCGTCCTAGGGCTGCACGTGTCTGCTCTGGAGAGCCCACCGTGGGGTTTCCCAGCTGTGCCCATGATGAAGAAGAAGGGGCCCTGTCCCTGCTGGGTTGGGCCTGGAGGAAATGGGGACACAGTGGGAACCCAAGGCAGCAGTGTGGCCCTGGAGACTGCTGGTTCCTTTTCTGCTTATCTAGATACATAGCAACTCCTAGTTCCGGTTTGCTGGAGACCAAAAGCCGAACCTCTCCCAAAGAGCCTGCAGTGGGAGAGGGCAGTGGGAACTGGTCTTCCTCTGAAGTAGGCGACCAGGACCCAGGCTCTTGGACCCTGGAACAGGCTTCCCCTCTGACCATCTGGACGAGAGCCTGGAGTAGGTGTGGCCAACTTACGGTGGGTGGGCGACCAGAGCAGACAGCTGGGACAAGGTGTGGCGCCACAGACTTGGGTGAGGGCCTTACTTCCCTCTTCTCTTCAGGGAAGTGGGGCTAGAGATGAGAGCAGATAGGAAGGATCAGGCTGGTAGCCTTCAAATCTTGGGCTCCTGACATTTAGGAAGTTATACCACAACATGCATCGTTTTGTGGTCACAGCAGTGCAGGCTGGGTATTTGGGTTTGGGGCTTCTGTGGAGTCACAGGCTTTGTTACCTGAGGTACTGGCTTTGTTGCTGGGGCAGATCCCTCCGCCTCTTCAAGCCCACCTTCCTCAGCTGGATAGGGAAGATCAGAATTTCAACCTTTTGGGTTATTAGGAGGATTAACTGGGACCATGTATGCAAACACTAGCCCTGTGCCTGTTGGTAGTAAATGGCAAAAAAATGCGGCCATTGCTTTTTTGATACCAATTATCCTGAGGGCCAGGAATCAAGCAGTTCACCAGGGAGCTCAGGGTGAGCAAGTCCAGGAGCATGGCAGGAATGAGGGTGTGGCATCTGGAGCTGGCCCGTCCAGACTATGGACCTGTCAAGGGTCCCAGGAGTGTGTGGTGGGGGGATAAGGTGAGAAGGTCAGCAGTTCCCACTCCCACCCCTCCTGTCGGCTGCCAGGAGAATGGACGCTTACACTCGAGGGCTGATTCGGCTCCTCCTGTTAAAAGCAAAGTAGTGGGGCCCTGGAGCCTCTGGGGCCAGGCTGCTTGCCAGATTCCTACAGAAACAACCAGCCAAGCAGCTTATCAGGAGGTGGGGACCACTGCACTGGCTTTGTACCAGCCCCTGTGTCCCCATACACCTTACCCCACAGCCTGGAGCCTCAGGAGGATCTTAGAACTTGGGGTTCTGCTTCTATATGACCAGGAGGGCAGGTACTGCTCAGTGTCCCCTCCCACCCTTGGGCTAGGAAGCATAAGCTCTTGGAAGTTCACTGAGGGCCTGGCGCTGCGCAGGGGCCCCTCCCCATGACGTGGGGCCCCTCCTGTCCATTCTCTGCGTGGCTCAGAGTTCCAGGAAGGCATTTCTCACACCAGCCAGCGGCACAGTCCTGTGGGGAGGAACGCAGAGCCAGGTGCCCGACACCCAGAGGTAGGAGAGCCCTAGGGAGCAGCCCCGAGTGAGCTCCAGAGCACCTTCCGTCTTGGCTTGGGGAGAAGAGGGCAGCTTTGGGAGCCTGTTCTTGGCCAGGCTCTTGGGCTGGCAGCTTCCTCTCCTGAGGCTGGTCATCTCTCCCCTGGGTGGGGCCGATGCCCAGAAGTCATTAACTCTTGAGGTGTAGGCAGGCAGGTGCCTTATTCTCACCTGCCCCTGGTGCCTTCTCTTTGCAGACGCCCTGCTGGCAGACTTGGAGTCCACCACCTCCCACATCTCCAAGCGGCCTGTGTTTTTGTCCGAGGAGCCCCCCTACTCCTACCCAACTGGAAACCACACCTACCAGGAGATTGCAGTGCCACCCCCTGTCCCTCCACCCCCATCAAGCGAGGCCCTCAATGGCACAGTCCTTGACCCCTTAGACCAGTGGCAGTCCAGTGGCTCCCGACTCATTCACCAGCAGGTAAGGTGGGGACAGGACCTGGGAAATCCCTAAGCCCTGGGGGCAAAAGGATCTTATCTATCAGAGGCTTGGGGAGCCAGTAGAGGAATGGATCAGGGGATTTGCCTGTCCCCTGGCAGACACTGCTTATCCCACCCACCACGTGAGGGGGTCAGTGACCAAGTATTAATCACCAGTGTCCCAGTCAGAGTGTGGAAATTCCCTGGTGAGACTGACTGTGAGCAGGAGCCACCTGGGGGTGACTCGAGCTCCTCCTGTCCCCCATTCTTTCCTTCCCCTTGGGAGAGTTCTCTGAGCACTTTTATTCTCGTAGCCTCCATCCCCATCACCTGTGTACGGCTCCAGTGCCAAAACTTCCGGTGCCTCCAACCCCCAGGACGGTGTTGGTTCTCCGTGCTCACGAGCAAGTGAGGAGGAGCACGTCTACAGGTACAGCCTCATCCCCCCACAGGCGTCCTTCTTCCTGCTCAGAAATTCTGGGAACCCCTCCCGCCCTGGGCTGGAGGCAGCTGAGGCTGGGGATCAGGCTTGGCAACTGGCCCTCAGAGGGTGCTGCCTCCAGCGTCATTGGTTTAGCCTACAGAGGGCCCCAAGGCTCCTGGCCAGTTCATATGCCTGTTAATTGGCCTGTCCACCTTGTCACTAACATCTCCATGTAGCGGATGGGCTGGACTGTCACAGCGTTCCCTTGTGGTAGAGGAACTGAAGCAAGACTTCCTTCCTCCTCCCTCCTTACCACATCCCTTCCCTAGTCTCTGTCGTCTTGCTTTGTTTCCCCTCCACTCTATGCTCCGGAGAATCCAGGGAGTGCCAGTGCCCAGCCGCGGAGCAGCGCTCACCGTCTTCTTCCCTTTGCTCTCAAAGCTTCCCCAACAAGCAGAAGTCAGCCGAGCCTTCACCCACCGTAATGAGCTCCTCCCTGGGCAGCAACCTTTCTGAACTTGACCGTCTGCTGCTAGAACTGAATGCTGTGCAGCATAATTCTCCAGGCTTCCCTGCAGGTAGGATTGGTTCCCCAGGCCCATCTGCTGCCTCTGGATCCTCAGAGGGCTCAAGGGATAAGCGACCTTTTTCTTTCCTTCTCTCTAAGAGGAGACCAACACAAGCCCTCCACTCCCGGGGGCCCTGAGCCCTCACTATGGCATCCCAGAGAACAACAGTCCCGTGGGAGTCAAAGCTGGGCCCCTGACAAAAGAGAAGCCCAAGCGGAACGGGAGCCGGGGCCTGGAGGACGTTCGGCCTAGTGTGGAGAGTCTCTTGGATGAACTGGAGAGCTCTGTGCCTAGCCCTGTGTGAGTATCCATTGGACTCTCCCCACGCTGGGGCAGATCTTGCTCAGCCTGGCCCTGGGCTCCGTGTTGTGTTGTTTAGCCCTGGTGTCACCCATCCCCTTAAGTGCCTGTTGTTTGCCAGACCCTGAGAGTACAGTGGTGAGTCGTGTGGACATCATTTCTGCCTTCAGCTGGCCACTGTCCATCAGAAAAGGCGGACATTGTGCACACAGAGGCCACCTACAATTTAGTGACTGTTAGCACAGACTTCAGAGTTGTCGACAGGGTTTAAGTCGTGATTCTGCCAGTTACTGTGTGTCAGCTCTCAAGCTTTAGTTTCCCCATCTGTAAAATGGGATAAGTGGTTGTGGGTTAATGGGGCTAAGACTATAAGACTATCTATGTTACCAGAGCTGAGACCAATAATACACATAAAGTCCGTGGAATGGTTTCTGGCTCATAGTGTGTAATACTTGTGACAAGTACTTAATAACATTAACTCTTATTAGTGTTAGGCTGTCGTACTCTCACATCTGTGTAAGAACTCTGTCTTTTCCCAAGTCAGCTCACCTCAGTGCTGTCCCCTAGCTGACAGCCCTCTCCCCGTAGTGGGTCCCCAGGAAAGACTGGGCACTGGTGTTCTTTCCCTGAGCTTGAGGTTTGGGGACTCCAGAGTCAGAGCTGAGGTGTTGACACAGTTCCCTGTGAAGCTTGGGGCTGGCCTCTGGGCTCCCCACTGACACCATGCCTGCCCTGCAGCCCGGCCATCACTGTGAACCAGGGCGAGATGAGCAGCCCACAGAGAGTCACCTCCAGCCAGCAGCAGACGCGCATCTCGGCCTCCTCTGCCACCAGGGAGCTGGACGAGCTGATGGCCTCGCTGTCAGATTTTAAGGTGCCCTGTAGCCCCTCTGTCTTCCATGCTTTCTGTCCTTCTCTTCCTTTACCTCAGTGTGAGTAGCTGGACCTTGGTCCCTCAGTGTTTGGGTGCCTTGTCCAAATATGACTCCGAAATATTCTGGCCTTGCCAGGGCAGCAGGATTTGGGGAAGGGAAGCGAGACAGAATGTGGGACTGAGCTGCAGAGCAGCAGAGAGGCACTCCGCTGGGACATTCCTTCCTCCTTGGGTACTCTCAGCCACCCAGGTTGAGGGGATCAGGAGGCCAGGACTGGGACAAAGGGCCCTGTGTTGATGGCTGCTCTCAGTGGGGGAGGGTGTGTTCTGCTGGGCCATGTGGGACTCAGGATCCCATGCCTGAGAGGTCACTTGCGCTGGAGCCTCATCTCCCACGCTAGTTGTCCTCAACACATCCTCTTTCTTTCTGCTTCTGGCAATTGAATTCACAGGCCTCCCTTGCCAGCCTCCTTTCACCCTTCCCTGTCCCTCCAGGGCCAGGCCACTGGGCCTCAGAGTTCCCACGAATCCTGCGTGTGGGAAACCTAACCTGCCAGGCTGGGCTGGTCCTGCAGGACTTGGCCCTGCCCCTCTCCCGGGCCTCCCCATCCTGCGAGCCCGTGATGTTTTATTTAGAGGATGCAGTGCCTTGATGGGGATTGATATTGACAGAATTCTCCAGTAGCTGCTGACTTGGCTTCCACATAGGTCAGCTTGAGACCTTGGGGGCTGGGTATAGCGGGTATGGGAAGGGTCAGTGCATTCCTGGCCTGATGTTACCTCCTCGTCCTTTGTCTGGGGGCTACCATGGAGGATGGGAGTTCACTGGGCTGATGGTTGCACCTGGCCTTGTGAGTCTTGGGTGCCATGGTTCTGAGCAGCCAGTGAGAGGCAGTAAGTTGGGTTCAGGCACTGGCCTGAGGGAGCCTGCCCCAGTGCCCTTAAGGCTGTCACTGCTTTCTGAGATGGTCTGTGTCCCTAGGCCCGGTGAAGAGAAGCTCAGCGGCTGGTGCTTGGTGGTGCTCTTAGTGCAAGGACTTGGGGACGTTAGGCAAGCTGGGATTGTCTAGGAAGGATAGGGCTAAGAGTTGAGCCACCATCTGAGGAGGACTGAGCAGGCTGCCAGAGGCTGACCCTGCCTTGGTTTGTGCCTGAGGCTGATCTCCGTGGCCACCTGTCCCCTTGTGATGCACCTCATCTTACCCACTGTGGGTGGCCCTGTGG